TAAATTACAGCTAAATTAATAATAGAATATACAGTAAAGAAGGTCTAAATGAGCTGTATACTCAAAGGAGGTAAACAAATTTGAGTTGTTTACAAAATGGATTAAAATAGAAGAACAAAGCGAGGATGAACCACTGTGCACTTTTGTTTTTCTATTTGATGTGACACTCTGTACTTGGCGCTATGCATATGTGAATAGTGGAGGTCAAATATTGATAATTTGAGGGGTACCATACCTCACTGTGCATTACATGGCTGTGGAGAGAATCTTCAGATCTACAGGCCACACATCCTGTCATCACACAATGGCTACAGGCCTTGTCTCCCAAACCACTATTCAACAAAGTAAATAATTAAAATGAATATGATAAACATGTATTATGTAACAATTAAATAACTTTTTTTTATTCTGAATATATTGCTATCATTCTTTCTGTGTTTCCTTATGTTAATTTTTATTGATTGGTTATTGTTAATATTAAACTTCAATTATGTATAAAAGATTGCAATAATGTATGAAGAATTAAATTAATAAACTTGAATAATGGTTTTGATAGGGCAAAGTGTCTGTAAATTAACTGCAGGTTAGAAATCAGGCCTGGAATTTGCCTTCTACTTTTTCTCATGACCAAGACAACTCAACTCCCTAAGCCTCATAATGAGACTTGGTTTACTTAGAGGATCTTGTGTTTATATTTGTCTGGTAAAAGGGATATGTCACTTAGAAAAGTGATGGAATGATTTCGATTTGAATTTCTTCTATGTGATACACACCAAGGATTATGTTTGCTGTTTGGCAGATCCTTGGCTTTGGGCCTAAAACAATTAATGAAATAAAATAAAATACACACGCCTGCTAAAGTACCCTACGCACAACACAATTTATCATTTACCCATTGCACATCACTTTTGAGTATGATGCCATTCATTATATTATTGTTTCTATTAATCTTGTAGTAGCAAAATCTTAGGCAATTTGTTTCTTCTGCCTTACCGCTCGGCCACTCGACTAGCCTCATGTGATAACTGTGTGGATGCTCTATCAATTGAGCTGCAGTATTTAATATGTATGTTGAACCCCATTTGGTTTTCCCATTTTTTTTTATCAAAGGTATTGCACAAAATAAAAATATATACTAACATCTTCACTATTGGTAAAGATGATGAGAAGTTTACAAGAACAATGTATTGTTGATCCCATTGATAATTTGAGGGGTACCATACCTGTCACCATGCATTGCATGGCTGTGGAATGATTCTTCAGATCTACAGGCCACACATCCTGCCAGCACACACACACACATAAATTTGGGGAATTATAAATACATCTGTTCCTGAAAAATTTTAATAATATAATATAATTATTTTTTAAAATTATTAAAAATAAGAAAAATAATAGTAATTTTATAATAATAAAATTAATAAAAATAAGAATAATAATAGTAATTTTATAATATCCTTTAATGCCCATTTCAAAATAGGAATCTGGAATAATAAATCTGTCGCTAGAAAACATTAATATAATTATTTAAAAAATAAGAAACAAATAAAAATAAGAATAATAATAATAATATTAAAATAATATCCTTTAACACTCATTTCTAAATAAGAGTATATCTAAGTATGTAAGTAAATAAAAAGAAAATAATGATCAATCATCTGTCATATACTCTGTCTTACCTGTTTGTTTCTTTAACATCACTGATGGACTCACTAGAAGTAAGCTGTAAGGGATTTAAGAAACTTGATAATTATATAAAAATTAAATAACTTTCAACAATTCAACAATTGGTTGGCCATAACTAGTAATTTCGTAATTTTCTATTTTTATTTTAAATTTCTCCTTTTTCATCTTATATTTTTACTTTATATAGGACTTTATTTTATTATTATTAAACCATGTATTAATAATAATTATTATTATTGTACAAGGTATTAAAAAAAATGATATTTATATATACTTATTCTTACTAAATTTGAATTTTTCTTATTTTCAATTTCTTAATTTGTGTTCTATTTTTAAAAAACTATGCACCGTTTTTTTTTTTTTTTTTTTTTTTTTTTTTTTTTTTTTTTTTTTATTTATTCTGAATGTATTGCTATCATTCTTTCTGTGTTTCCTCGTGTTGATTTTTATTGATTGGTTATAACTTCAATTTTGTATACCAGATTGCAATAAAGTATAAAGATTTAGAATTGTAATTTCACTGTTCCCTGGAATTAGTAACTTGAATAATGGTTATGATAGGGTAGAGTGTCTGTAAATTAACTGCAGGTTAGAAATCAGGCCTGGAATTTCCCTTCTTCATATCTATGTTAATGTTATTTTGTTTCTTGTTTGTTGCCTAAAAAAAAAAAAATTATAAAAGACACTAAGACATACAGAACATAACACTAAGACATATAGAACATAATTTTCTTTTTTTCTCCTTTTTTTTAAATAATTTGTCCCCCTTGAATCCTCCACTGATATGCAGTTAATGACTTTTGTTAACACATATAATTTTATTACACACATAGTGTAATCGGCACTGACTTCCATAAGACAATTGGTAATGAAATATTGAAAACCTGTAAACATTATGAATTTGTGTGAGGTTATTTCTGGGAGATTGCGGGAAGGCGGAAGGTCGTCCAATTTTTTTATGGGTGCAGCGGTTATCAGAGGCTAAATTTATTGTGAAAACAATGTACTGAACGTTGTTAAAATTGAAGCATGTATACTATAGGCCAATATTATTACAAACTTAAAAGTGCACAATTTCTACTATAAATGATTCATTCCTTTTGTATATTATTATAACCTGTACGTGTGTTTAATATTATTTACATACATAGGATTACTGTTTTTCCTAATTTCAAAAAATTATAGTTAGTCAATTGAATTTTATATAGCCATTTTATATAGCCCATATTATTATTTGACACAGACATGTCTAATTTCGATTTGTAATACCAAATTTTACAAACTCCAGTGTTATGTTGATGCAATTACACAATGACGTCATAATAATCAGTGGCGGATTTATGTGGGACAGAGCCGATCTTAAATTTTTCAAAATTATTTTTAAAAAATGGAAAAAAAACTAAGGAAAATTATAATTAGAATTTAATCCTAGAGTGCCATTTCCGGCAATCTAGAGGCATCATAATCATAAATTTTCTTTCCTCAGCCCCAACTATGGTGGGGCTGAGGTGATCTACTTTAACAAATTGTGCAAGCCCCTCCATGTCCCCCTCTATTTTGCTTTCCTGGAGCCGCCACTGATAATGATAAATTATTAGTAAATCACTTTTATGTTTGTGAAATCAAAATGCTAACTAATGTTTTGTGTGCTCCCTATCTCCCTAGTCCTGTTTTATTGTAAATTAGACGGTATTATTTTCATTCACAATAGTGTGGTCGCAATATTACTTACACAAAAGTGAAATTCTAAAAGAGGAGAAAAGCAAAATCCTCTTGATTGATTTTAAAAGTATTGTACATGCAGAAAGACTAAATTAATGACTGTTTAAGCTTATCATATTTGTTTTTCATGGTTTTAATTTTGAATACGTCACAAGCTAATTAGTAGATAATTAATCATTATTTTTATGAATGTTAGTGTGTACGAAATACATAAGCTGGCATAATTATGACTAAAGGGATAATTTTAAAAACTTTTTATGATGAGTATTTCAGTAGCAGATTCAAGGGGCCCAGCCGGCCCACCATCCCTAATTTTTTTGTTCAAAATTTAAAAGTGGAAAAAAATGAAAATTATATTCAAATTCAGTCTGAGAGTGCCATTTCTGACCAACTAGAGGTATCATAATCATAAATTTTCTTACCTCAGCCCCAACCATGGTGGGACTGAGGTGGTCTACTCTCCAATTGTAAAAGTCCCTCTCTGGGCCCAGCTCTATTTTAAATTACTGGATCCGTCACTGGATATTTTGAAAATTTCGTATGGAAATAAATGTTAATTGCATTGCTTAAAATTAATTAAAAGGCTATAGGCGCCAGACCTTCCGGGGGAGGGGGAAAGGGGGCGAAGCCCCCCAGTCCCTAACCAAGGCTAACATTGTTGGGGCTGAGGTGCGAAAATGTTGAGAATATGGACCTCTGGGTACTTGGAAATTGCACTTTCATACATTAAAAATCTTACAAATAATTCATTTCAACAATATAATACAATAATTATTTTTCTTAATAAAATTTAGGGGGGTGCGATCGCACCCTCTGCACACCCCCTGCATCCGCCCCAGTATTATACATTTTATTGTATTTTGTATTGTTATTGGCCAGAGGTTTAGAAATGACCACTTGATGTGTTGTTGGACTTTCCCATCATCTCTGAAACGCTGCTGGTCAATATGTAGTTAACATTTCGAAAAGCCCTCTATTCATGAAAAAGTTTTCAACTTTATAGGGCAGGGACAAATATCCCACCATTACCATTACCATTACAATTCTTTTAAAGCTTTGTGTCTTTATTGAGCTTGTCGACAAACGATTTTCATTTTTTTTATTCATATTGTACTTACTTACAATATGAAGTTATTGAAGATGGTCAGTGGCTAATATCAGAGCCTTCTTGCTCAAAATATGTGTTCCCGTTTTTGTTTGATTGTCACCTTTAGAATGTGTTTCGATAAAAATAAATTTAGTGAGCTACGTCATAATTGGTTTCTCTGTTTATTTACTATAATCACAGTTAAGAATTGAGATTTTAAAGCATGTAACGGTAGTTACTATGCCATTTAAAGACACTTTTGATCTTTTCTTTTATTTTGACTGATGTTTTTTTGTGATGCCCTTTCAATTTAGGTTGATTCCACAATTTTGTCAGACTCATCATTCATGCTGTCATATGTGGACTGGGTAGTCTGCTCAACTTGCTGGCTTGTAATTGGTCCATCTGAAACCAACGAGTCCCTGTTTCTACTCGCTATAGATTTCACTGTGCTTTCGATTGGAAAAGAATTTCTCTGCTTTTCAAAGAAAACTTCTGAAATTGATTGTTTTTGCTGGAAGACCACGAAAAACCATGAATAATATAACATGTATTAATAATACATCTTGGTCATTAATTTAATCAATTTAAATGCTGTTATTAAATTTATATTGTGTCTGCGCACCCCTAGATACGCAAGTCACTGCCTATAAATATAATCAAAAAGGTACTCGGTTTCGTCTACAGCCTGTAGCTGTGTGTGAAACCTCCTTAAACACACACAGAGTACTATTAAGTCGACCAAGTCAGTGGTAGTGTGTAATTGCCAAAAAAATTAATAAAAATAAGAATAATAATAGTAATTTTAAAATAATATCCTTTAATGCTAATTTCAGAATAAGAATCTACTTTTGGAAATAAAAAATCTGTTGCTAGAAAACATTAGTATAATATAATTATATAAAAAATAAATAAAAATAAGAATAATAATAGAATATAAAAATAATATCCTTTAATGCTCATTTCAAAATAAGAATATATTTAATGCATGTTAAGTATAAATAAAAATAAATAACGAATAATCATTAATCTGTCATATACTCTGTCTTACCTTTTGTTTCTTCAACATCATTGATGGACTCACTAGAAGAAATCTGAAAGGGATTTAATAAACATGTTATTATATAACCATTAAATAACTTTTTTATTCTGAATATATTGCTATCATTCTTTCTGTGTTTCCTTGTGTTGATTTTTGTTGATTGATTATTGTTCATGTTAAACTTCAATTATGTATACAAGATTGCAATAACCTATGAAGAATTAGAATTTGTGACTTGAATAATGGTATGAGGGCATAGTGTTATTAACTGCAGGTAAGAAATCAGGCCTAGAATTTGCCTTCTTTATATCTATGTTAATATTTTTTTTCTTGTTTGTTGCCAAAAAAAAAAAAAAAA